TTTGGGTTGAGGTCACAACCCTGTGGAACTGCATGCTTCAGATGACCCCTGACCTTTGACAGAGACCCTGCTGGATGGAGACTCTCCAGAACCGCTGATGCTACATTTATAGGGCCTTCATCAGAGCTGGAAACATGGAGGAGGGTCATGCTGCCTGCTGATCCATCACCAATGAAGGAGCCATCTTTATAGAAAGCAGCTGGGAGGTTGTGGGTTGGATTCCTTGCTCTGCAGCTCAGAGTGACGTCATCTCCCTCCATCACAGGGAGGACAGGACTCTGCAGGATCACTGATCCTTTCAAACACAGAGACAAACTACAGCATTTCATCCATTTCACACACAGCAACACTAACTCCACAGTCTGATCTTACCAGAGACAGAGAGCTGGATTTCATTTCTCTGTGTTTGAACAGTTTGGTGCTTTTGGTAGTTAATTTAGAAACTTCCACTAGAAGTCAGAGTGAAAATGTAAACAGATCAGATTTTACTAGCTGTAATCTAACTCTCTCACTGTTTTGTGGGCTTTTAATAGGCCGTTTGCGCTAGAAAATCCTGGAGAGGTCAAAGTTCTTGTCATTCATCATTTTAACTTTTAGTACCATCAACTTCCAGATTAGAATGTTTATGTAACTGATGAATAATCTGTCCGATAATCTGTGGTGGGCAGTTATATGAGTTTCAATGAAAAGTTAATTATATGGGTAAAAGTTAAAGCAGGTAAATATTGTGAGGCACTTTTGCTTATGGTTTGATGTAAAACTGTTATTTAAGATACATATACATAATATTATTGATAAATGTAGAAAAGGCATTAATATTTTGAGAGGAATGATTGGGGCATCAAACACATCTGAAAAGAATATCTGATGTTTTAATTTGTTCTGTGCTGGATTATGGGTGTTTTGTTAATAAGTCAGCTGCTAATTATGTTATTAGATTTAGATCAAATCCAAGGTAAAGGCTCAGGAAATAGCACAGAAATGCCACAAGACTTAAGAAACTCAGCAAATTATTGGTTCAGTTTAGGAGGGCAGGAGGAAAATCACCACTAAACAAATATTCAGAGAATGTTGGGAGTTTGGTCATAACATCAGGAGTTTTGGATGGGAAGGAAATATTTATGCAGATCATTTGGGGATAAATAATATATCATGTTGTAAAACTGTAATTAAATCTAAAATTGCTCCATGGTTATTTGAAATGCCAATAGTACATTTAGAAACCAAAGAAACAGATCAGACCTGTGGAGGTTTGTATGAAATTATTCAGCAGTATTCAGAAATGATATAAGAAAATATGATACAAATATATACAGTTGCATCAAAAGAGGAAAATGGTAAAACAGAAATAGCAGTTTATATTCCAAAACAAAAAGTTATTATAAAAAGAACAAGAGATAATCTATCAGTTATTTTGGCATTACAATGGCTGCTGGAGGTGAAGCCTGATGAGGCAGTTTTATGTTCAGTTTCAATGTTTTATAAATCTGACAGCCGTCAAGATCTTCTGGATGAAGTTCATTATTTGAAATATGATATAAAGCAAAAACAAATGACAAAGGAGATAAATTGGCTAAAGAATCAGTTAAAGATTGAATATAAAGTCCCACTAAGTAGAACAGAAATTACAGTAATTATTAAAGATAAAATAAATAACATGTAGCAGGAGAGATTTAAAGAAAGAGGAAGGAATAAAATACAGAGGGAGGTAATTATGAGTAATAATATAATGAATAGGAGACAGGAAGCATGGATTAACAGGTTGAGGATTTTATACTAGTTTAAAATAACGGAGACATCATCAGGTGATGATTGCAGGGAAACAGAAAATGCAACATGTTGATTTATTGTAGGAAATATATAACAGAGAGGAAAGAAAACTGATGGAGAAATCAATAAATATGGATCATTTATTAGGGAAGCAACAAACAAATGATTTTTATAATTCTAGCACTTAAATATTTAAAAGACACAAAATTAGCTGAGAGGATTAGTTTGGATGTGTTTTTCTTTGTGGCTCTTGAGCAGTTGCAGGAACTCATTTGCACCCTCTGCAGGCAGGCTGCGAAGTGGTGTGGTTTGTGTGTGCTGCTCCGTTTCTTCAACTCTTTTCCCTCCCATTGGTCTAAAGTCTTTAGTTTGGATTTAGTTTGGATGTGTGTATAAATATGTATATAATTTAGTTATTTTAAGTTTTGAAGATATTTAGAAAATATTAATTTATGGATATCACCCTATAGAATAATAATAATAATAATAATAATAATAATAATGATAATAATAATCTGCAAAGAGCTGCTGGATGTTGAAGCTCTTGAGACAAAATGATAAAATAAAGGAGCAGCGGAGAAACAGCAACGTTTTGGTTTTTATATCATGACTTGAATTTTAATTTCACTCTAAAAAAGCTGCACAGAATCCAAACCATGTTTTCAGTTTCAGCTTTTTAGTCAAACTTTGTCTATAGTCATATAAATGGGTCCCAAGATGACCTTTTGACCCGTTTAAAGACGACTTGTGACCAATTCATTCATTTCAAGGAAACATCAGGAAGCAAAGAGCAGCTTCAGCGTTTCCTCTGCTTCATGTCTGACTTTCATTTTGAGTCTGTTGGAAAACAACCAGAACCAAGAAACCTGAAACCTAGAGCCAAAATCTGAACGTTCCCAAAGAGCAGAGAGAGAGAAGAAACCTTCAGGTGTCCAGAAGATTTAAAACACTGCAGGGAATCCATGAACTTTGACCTCAAGTCCAGTCAAAACGATTCTTTGGGACAAAAACAGGTTTCACTTCAGCTGCTGGAAAAAAACAACTTTTATTTTTTACTAAATAAAGTTAATCTTGACATATTTGGGATAAAATCTGTTTTTTTGACCACATGATGTCAGAAATCTCATTAACTGTTTTACTCATGAGGACAGAGACGTTAACGCAGGTCAGGGATTAATGACCAGTTAATGAGGGTCTACATAAAAACGTCTTAAAACCTTTTGAAACATAAAGCAGTTCTATAAATGTTTCATCATTTACAGAACCTTTTTTACTTCAGTGAATCTCATGTCATGTTCTGCAGGGCTGTTAGAAATTATGGCAGTAACATTTTTTCCTCATGTTGGTGTGGAGCATCAGAGCGGCTCCTAGAAACCCTTCATCTAAATAATAATTATTAGTAATAATAACTTTTATTCAGGTGGCCTGTCCTATTGCACTTCTGTAACTGATGGGTTTGTGATGGTCTGAAATACATTCAATATTTCCTAAAGTTTAGTGGAAGAAAGACGCAGCAGCAGCTTTGATTCCTGACAGTTTATTGCCATCATGTCTGCAGGTCGAGCCTGAGACTGAAAACCCCACAGACAGGAAACACAGAGCAGCTCTGGGCCAATAGAACGTCTCCAACCCCTCTGTGATGTCACAGCGTCAGAGGCTGCGATTGGTGCAGAGGTACGGGTGGGCGGGCCGACAGCGAATGTTCTGGAATCAGGTCCCAAACAAATCCAGGGAAAAAAAAATGAAACAAAAAGATGAGCCTAAATTAATCCTGAAACTCTCTCTCTCACACACACACACACACACACACACACACACACACACACACACACACACACACACACACACACACACACACACACACACACAGAGCTCCTGCAGCAACCAAACATTAATTATGACACTTCATAACAACCATGACAGATGATGACATCATCATCCATGGCCGAGGATGTGGCGGGGCTAAAATATGCAGCACAAAAGGAAATCACTACCCAAAATAAAACAGCCAATCAGAGACGCTCCTCTCCCAGAATGCTTTGCTGCGCGTGGATTTAACCTCCATATATTTGACACACATTCATCAAACCTCCATGCCTTCTGAATCTCACTACATCTCCCAGAATCCCTCCTGCTAGCCCTAAATGACCTGCAGTCCTTCCTCTGTTCTCCGTCCTGAGACTTTATTCTCTTATTTCCCATGATTGCCTGTGACATTGAACGCACCGTCAGCACATTTCATTTCCTTTTAAAATTCATGTCCATTAAAAACAAATAAAAACACAAAGATAAAGTTCAGATATACACACAGCTCAGTAACAACCTGCTCTGATCCTAAAACAAACACTTCCTGCACACGTCACGGCCTCTGGGGACCTGCAGGGGTCGCCACAGAGCGCCTTTCTTTGGTTTGCAGCTGTTGGCTATGCAGCGTTCAGGTGAAATGGGAAAAATCAGATGAGACGCTAGGCTAGCTCATCATGTAGCATCATCAGAGCAGAAACATTCAGGAGGAACTGAACATTTGAACTGCATGATGGGAAAAAGCTGCAGTTCGTTCAGCTCCAACAGTTTCAGTTCTTCTGCCTGTGAACTGAACCGTCTACTGGACCAGAACCAGAACTTAACCAGAACTTAACCAGAACTTAACCAGCCCAAACCAGCGGCTGTGAGACAACGGCTGAGGTTAAGATAAAACCCAAACAGCAGGACAGACGTGACCTCACACTGTTTCATAAAGGTGCTGAAACACACACACACACACACACACACACACACACACACACACACACACACACACACACACACACACACACACACACACACACAGAGACACACACACACACAGAGACACACACACACACAGACACACACAGATACACACACACACACACACACACACAGATACACACACACACACACACACACAGATACACACACACACACACACACACAGATACACACACACACACACACACAGATACACACACACACAGAGACACACACACACAGACACACACAGATACACACACACACACACACACACACACACACACACACACACACACACACACACACACACACACAGATACACACACACACACAGATACACACACACACACAGATACACACACACACACAGATACACACACACACACAGATACACACACACACACACACACAGATACACACACACACACACAGATACACACACACACACAGATACACACACACACACACAGATACACACACACACACACACACAGATACACACACACACACACACGCTCGGTCTGCTCTCTACAGCATGAGGATCTGCAGCCAATCAGAGGCCAGCGTTGGGTCACATGACGTTCTCCTTGTTCTTCAGGTCGGGGGCGCTGAACTGCCGCCTCATCCTGGGCGGCGTGCCGAAGGCCCAGGATGAGGCGGCGGGCGGAGGCCCCGCCCCCAGCAGCATGTCGGGGAGGGGCGGGGGTCCGGAGCGCGGCAGGCTGTGGTAGTTGGGCTGGAATGGTGCATTCTGGGAGTCGTAGTAGGGATGCGGGTGGAACTGATGGTGCTGCCGCTGGGTGTAGTAGAAGCCTCCGTCTCTGTCCCTGCTGCCGCCCCGGGCCCCCGGCCGGCCCCCCCGCTCCCCGCCGGGCGACGCCGCCCCTGCGCTGCCGGGGTCGCCCCTGGTGACCGCCCCCGCCCTGCTCGCCGCCGTCCAGGGAGCCGCGGCGATGGCGCCGCTGGTAGTTCTGGTTGTTGCCGGGCTGGTTGCCTTGGTTACGCTGTTGCCAGGCGTGGTGAGGGCTGGGTGTGCGCATGCGAGGGGGGGCCGAGGGGAAGGGGAGGGGCAGCAGCGGGGGAGGCGTGGGGGAGCCCCCCCCCGCTCCGTCCTCCTCCGCCGCCCCGCCCTGCTCGACGCCCAGACCCAGAGCCTGCAGCGCCTCGCTGGCCGGTCCCCAGGACAACCGGTGGGCCGGGTTGCTCTTAAAGGGGAACTTCAGTTTGCACTCCTGGGGGGGGATGAAGCGGCCGGTACCGGGAAGATGGACCGGGACGGTGGGGAGCAGCTGACCTGCAGGAGACACAGAATGTGACCTCACTGTGACCTCAGCATGACCTCACTGTGACCTCACAGTGACCTCACTGTGACCTCACTGTGACCTCAGCATGACCTCACTGTGACCTCACTGTGACCTCAGCATGACCTTTCTATTCACTCTAGAGCTGCTGTTATTAAAGATTCTAAACTAGACTGAGGTCTGGCCTTTGACTAGGCCATTCTACATGCTCTGACTGCAGCTGCTTTCAGATGTTGGTTTGTATAAATGTTGATGGCTCTCCTTCCTCTCAGCTCTTCTGTTTCACACATGAAGGTTTTTGTCTTCAGTCAATAGTTCGGCTGCAGTAAATCCAAGCTAGCTCACCCATTAGCTCATCTCCGCTAACGGCTGGGAGAAGAACAAGGCGGTCCAGTGGTGACTAGCTTACAATGCTAACGCTAGCTAGCCCATCCAATCCAAACCTTCTCCCTCACCAACCTGGGTTCTGGTTCTGTCCTCTCAGTTTCTTGGTGATGTTCTGCTTCTGTAGGTTCTGGATGCGCTGCTGTTCCTGCTTCAGCCAGCGGAGGCGCCCTCTCCTGAACGCCGGGTCCTCGTCCATGAGGCGTTGAACTCTGACCTCCGGCGGGTCGTTCGGGTCCAGGTCAGGGCCTCCTCCTCCTCCTGCCTCCCTCTGCGTGGAATCGCCTCCTTCTCCGTTCATGTCGTCGTCCTGGAAACGAGTCGGACCGGTGAGAGAGATCAGGGGTCTCCTACTCCAATCCTCAAGGGCTCAGAGTTTTCCTGGATCTGTCTCTGTGCTTCACCTGTTAGCATAGATATGGTAGCTCTGCTCTGTAGAGCTGCACTGCTGCAGCTAGGGTGGCTAGCTAGTTAGCCAGTCCACTAGTTAGCCAGTTAGCTAGTTAGCCAGTTAGCTAGTTAGCCATCAGCTGGTTTGCTAGATAGCCAGTTAGCCATTAGCCAGTTAGCTCCAGAGTGGAGGACCCAGGTGAAGGGACCAGTGGTCCTGGAGGGTCTCTGTCTGGGACCTTACAGTGTTGAACTTACCTGGACAGGTATGACGCTCTCCATCTTGATCATCCTGTCTCTCAGGGCTTTGATCTCCTCGTCCTTCATGTTGTTCTGCAGCTTCACCTCCTGCAGGAGACCCAGACGCGCCTCCGTCAGCTCCTCCCACCCAGCAGGAGGCCGAGGACGCGGCGGGGAACACGTACCTCCAGGATGTCCGTCAGCTTGTCGATGTGAGCCTTCAGGTCGTACACCTTTCCCTTCTGCCCTCCCTCGCCCGTCTCTCCGCCGCCGCCCTCCTCGGCGGGGGGGCTGCGCTCCTCGCCGATGCCCACCGTGTCGCAGACGTCCTGGGCCACGGCCTTCCAGCTCTCCTTCTCGTTGGAGTCCTTCTTGGCGTACATGCGGCAGAGCTCCTTCATCTTGACGATGGACACGCCTCGATCTCCTGCCGCGAGTGGCGGAAGTCTCCCAGAGCCACCTGCAGGGGGCGCCACAGGCAGACAGGCGTGAAGCAGTGAAACGTGTTAGTAGAGGAGGAGGCCTGCGGTGCGTCGCTGACCTCGTAGCAGATCTCCTTGACGGCCTGCATCCTCAGGTCCTCCATGGTGACCCGCTTGGGGTCTTTGCTGATCCGCCTCCTCTGGGGGATCTGGTAGACCCGGAGCGGCTCGCGCCGCTTCCCGCTGCTGGGCAGGCCGCAGCGCTTCACGATGCTCTGCACCTGGACACAGCGACGGCGGTTAGACCCAGACCTGGACCCAAACCTGGCTCTGAATGAAGCAGCGGTTCTGAATCAGTGGTTCTGATTGGGTCAGCAGAACCCGGATGTTTGCTCCCACCTTGTTAGCAGGAAGTTTCTCCCTCAGGGAGGAAATCAGCCTCCAGCTCTCCTCACAGGACCGTTTGTCGGAGTCGTCTCCGCTGTCGCTGTCTGCGTACTGAACCAGAACCACAGGGTTAACCTCTGGACCGGACCGGGCCGGGCCGGGTGCTGGCCAGCAGGTGAGCTGACGTGAACCCACCAGTCTGTGCTGCTCCAGCAGCAGGTCGGCCTCCTCCTTCCTTGCGGTACTGGGTCTCCACGTCCTGCAGCCTGCAGCACACAGACAGTGAGCTCTACAGCCGCCTGCGTTTTTAACGTTCCCTAACGTTCCCTAACGTTCCCTAACGTTCCCTAACGTTCCTTAACGTTCCCTAACGTTCCTGAACGTTCCCTAACGTTCCTGAACGTTCCTTAACGTTCCTTAACGTTCCCTAACGTTCCCTAACGTTCCTTAATGTTCCTTAACATTCCCTAACGTTCCTTAACGTTCCCTAACGTTCCCTAACGTTCCTTAACGTTCCCTAACGTTCCTAACGTTCCTGAACGTTCCCTAACGTTCCTTAACGTTCCCTAACGTTCCCTAACGTTCCTTAACGTTCCTTAACGTTCCCTAACGTTCCTGAACGTTCCTTAACGTTCCCTAACGTTCCTTAACGTTCCTTAACGTTCCCTAACGTTCCTTAACGTTCCCTAACGTTCCCTAACGTTCCTTAACGTTCCCTAACGTTCCTGAACGTTCCTAACGTTCCTTAACGTTCCCTAACGTTCCTTAACGTTCCCTAATGTTCCCTAACGTTCCTTAACGTTCCCTAACGTTCCTGAACGTTCCTTAACGTTCCTTAACGTTCCCTAACGTTCCCTAACGTTCCTGAACATTCCCTAACGTTCCCTAACGTTCCTTAACGTTCCCTAACGTTCCTTAACGTTCCCTAACGTTCCCTAACGTTCCCTAACGCTCCTCCAACCGGGCGCTCCTCTCCTCGTACCTCTTCTCCATCTCCAGCTTGATGTCGATGCCCTGCTTCTCCAGCAGCTCCTTCTGAGCGTAGTTCCAGTCCTCTGGCTCCCCCTGCTGCTCAGCCGTGACGCTGCGCTCCCTCTCCAGCCTCGCCTGCTCTGGGTGGTTGAACCTGAACACGTGGTTCTTCCCCATCACGATGCGGTTACCTAGCAATGCAGACACACAGGAAGCGAGCAGAAGCAGGAGGAGCATGAGACCGTCTGATAAAACTGATGCTGATGCTTATGATGCAGTGTTAAGTTTAGCAGGCAGTTCCTGGATCACCTTCTTCCTCTGCTGCCATTAGCACTGATAGGCTAAAGGTAGCCTAGCGTTAGCTTGGATGAGCGAGTGAATGGGGCATGTGAACGGGTGAATGACTGTAGAGTGAAGCAGTTTTGGGGTCCTCTGGATTGATAAAGGAGTATAAAATTATTAGGATAAGCTAGCTGCTAGCTAGCAGCAGTCAGTAGCTTTGCTGTCAGTTCCTGCTGCTGACCTATTGATCTCATTAATCAATAATCAGTGATCAATAATCAGATCAGTGGCTGGATTCAGGATGGATATGGTCTTTATCTGACCTTGTTTTAGGACCACGGCCTCGGTGATCTGCTTCCCGTTCACGTACGTCTCGGCTCCCACTAGCGGCTCCAGAGTGACCACCACTGCAGACAGGAGGAGAAGGAGAGCGTTCACATCCGGCTGGTTCATGTGTTCATCACGACGCTTCAGATCTGCTGAGCAAAACGTTCCTGAACGCTTCATCCCATCAGAGCTGAACGAGGAGCAACGAGGGAATCTAACACACAACCTGCAACTTTCAGTAAAACTCTGAGCCAATAACAATGATTGTTAACAATGATATATTATTATTATATCATTATAATAACAATGATATAATAATAATGATAATACTACTAATAATAACAATAATAATGATAATAATAATAATAATAATAATAATAATGATAATAATAATAATAATAATAATAATAATAATAATAATAATAATAATAATGATAATAATAATAATAATCTAAGACAGTAGTCAGAGAGTCGGACTGAAACAGCAGACGAGGAAAACTTTCTGATTTTCTCCTCATCTGCTGTTTCTCCGCTCGGTTTGGAAGCTGCAGCAGCAGGGAGGAAGAGGAGGGAGGGATGAAGGGTCAGAGGTCACATGATTGTAAGAGACGATACCTGACAGACTTCCTGGCAGCTTTTACAGAGAGAGAAGAAGAGAGAGTGAGTGAACAGAGAGCCGGCAGCGTGAATCAGACCCAACAGAACCAAACCCAGTTTAATCAGCTGATCACTGGGAGGCGGAGCTTAGCGGCCATGATGGCGGCCCAGCTGCACCGTCCTCTGAATCACCTGCTGCCAACCAGAACAACTATGAACCTAAAATAACATCAGGAGGGGACAGAAACTCTGAGGTCATCATGAGGACGTTTGACCAGCAGAGGGCGCTCTGACACAGGAAGAGCTGTTGGACAGGGAACCGGCCAATCAGGATCCGGTTTGAGACACACACAGAGACAGACAGCAAGACACTGAGACAGACAGACAGACAGACAGACAGCAAGACTCTGAGACAGACAGACAGACAGACAGCAAGACTCTGAGACAGATAGACAGACAGACGGTCAGGACGGACAGACAGACAGAGAGACAGACGGACAGACGTGTCTGACCTTCTCCCTGCTCGTTGGTCTCACTGACGAACACACAGTGAATCTCCTTAATAAACTGTCCAGACAGCTTGACGTCCACGTCCTGCTGTCCAACCCTGAGACACAGAGACAGCAGTGAGAACCAAGATGGCCTCTGAGACGCCCTGACCTCTTGACCTCCGTCTGACCTGGTGAACCCCTCCTTGATGTAGTAGAGCAGACACTCGGACATCAGCGGGTCTTCGTTCAGGTTCACCAGGTGAGGCGTCTGGAACACAAACAACTCAGCGGTTAGCAGTGACCTCTGACCTGCCGTCAGCCTGGCGGCCATCTTTATCGTCGCATGGCCAATTTGACCCAGACAGGAACTAAACTCAGCTGAGTCCATTTAGATACAACAGAACCCGTCTGTTTGGGTCGTTCATGCACAATGGAGCAGGATTCCATGTTACAACAGAACCGAAACAGAACCTAAACAGAACCTAAACAGAACCGAAACAGAACCTAAACAGAACCGAAACAGAACCGAAACAGAACCTAAACAGAACCGAAACAGAACCGAAACAGAACCTAAACAGAACCGAAACAGAACCGAAACAGAACCGAAACAGAACCGAAACAGAACCGCTCTCCAGTCCGGTCAACTGGTTTAACTTGGGTCCAGTATGTTGTCACGTTCCTGTTTCTGAGGAAACCGTTTTCCAGAACCTTGAGCCCAATCTGGATTCTTTAAAAACCATCAGGAGAGGAAATGGAACTGCTGCATGAACAGACTTCAAAATAAGAGCCTGAATATAAACGTCAAACTGCTTGAAGAAGTTTTAATAAGTAAAACTTCAGAAACAATCAAATGAAAGATGAAAGAATCTGGACAAAACATATTTAAGCTAAGAGCGCTAAAGGTTTCCACAGTTAGCTCGGCGCTAAGGAGAGTTAGCTCCTCTGTTAGCGCTTTAGCTAACACAGCCACTGACCAGGATGTTCTGGTCCAAACTGGAGGTACTGGTGATTCCACAGGGATCCCAGTATGACCTGAATGTTACCAGTAACACCCAATACAACAATCAGCACAGCTCCTGGAACAACAGCATGAATTATGAATGAATGAACTATAGAGGGTGAACTCACTCCTTTCGGGGAGAAAACTCCCAGAGTTCCTCCATCCTCCTTTATGGACACGCCCATCTCTGCCAGCAGCGACTCCCTGGAGAAACACAGAGCGATGACAGGGTGAACCGTGGTGACTGAACCGTGGTAATGACAGGGTGAACCGTGGTAATGACAGGGTGAACCGTGGTGACTGGGTGAACCGTGGTGACTGGGTGAACCGTGGTGACACATGGTGACAGGGTGAACCGTGGTGACAGGGTGAACCGTGGTGACTGAGTGAACCTTGGTGACAGGGTGAACCGTGGTAATGACAGGGTGAACCGTGGTGACAGGGTGAACCGTGGTGACTGGGTGAACCGTGGTAATGACAGGGTGAAACGTGGTGACAGGGTGAACCGTGGTGACTGGGTGAACCGTGGTGACAGGGTGAACCGTGGTGACACATGGTGACAGGGTGAACCCTGGTGACTGAGTGAACCTTGGTGACTGGGTGAACCGTGGTGACACATGGTGACTGGGTGAACCGTGGTGACAGGGTGAACCGTGGTGACTGGGTGAACCGTGGTGACAGGGTGAACTGCGGTGACTGGGTGAACCGTGGTGACAGGGTGAACCGGGGCGCGGTACCTCTCCAGCCGGATGGACTCGGTCTTCCTCAGCTTCTCCTCCCACGTCTCGTTCAGCTCTGCGATGATTTTCTCCGTTTCCTGAACAGAAACCAGAATCCGTCAGCGATCCGTTAATCCCTCCAGATTGAATAATCTGGGTACGTCCCACCATCAGCATCTCGGCCGCCTCCTCCTTGCTGATGGTTTCCGTAGCCACGGCCTCCTCTGCGTCCCGGCCGTTCTGGGTGGGGGGGGCGAGGTCAGCAGGTGAGTCTCCTGCAGGTGGAGCTTCGGCTTCAGCAGAAGGAAAATCTGGATCCAACATGAACTCAGGATTAATTCACAAACTTCCTGCAAGTTTAGCAGAAAAATGACCCAGTGAGGGGAGGGACCTGCGGGGGCGGAGTCTGCTGCAGCTGCGATCCCATTGGCTGTTGGGATCAGCGGCGGGGGGGCGGCGACCGCACCTGCTGCTGCCGCTGCTCCTGCTGCTCCTGCTGCTGCCGCTGCTCCTGCTGCTCCCGCCAGGCTGATGTTGTTGTTGACTGTAGGAGAGAGCAGGAGTCAGGTTTCACCGCTAACAGGCGGGAACGTCAGCTAGCAACACACACACACACACACACACACACACACACACACACACACACACACACACACACACACACACACACACACACAGCTGCTGTCTGAAAATAGCTGCTGCTCTCACTTACAAACACAATCAGCTGCACAACATCTAGAATATCCCATAATCCGTGCATCAGATCCAGACGTTACTGACTGACCGGGACTTAAAGGTCCGTCTGAAACCTATTGATTGATTTGTTATTGATACTGGAGATGATCAGTTATGGCCATTAAATTACCAGATCAAACTGGTTCATAGAGTCGCTGATGAAAACATGAGACCAACCAACAGCTGAGGGACACACCGGGTCACTTCCTGTCTGTTACCATAGAAACCAGGTTCCTCCCACCCACCTAGTAAAATCCTCAGTTACCTTTAAAACCCAAACTTCCAGATCAGCAGGTGATTCCTGGGTTTTATTTTCATATAAAAGTTTGAATTTGGAATCAAGTGGTTAATCAAAACATGATGGATGGATGAAGAAACTTCCAGAAAACTGAGCAACATCTGAAACACTGAGCTCCTTTAAATGAAGGCTGAAACTTTCCCGGTTGCATTTGACAAAATGTCTGTTGATAGAGTTGCTGAGTGTGATGTGGTTATCATGCTTATCATGTTTATCATGCTTATCATGTTTCATGTTTATCATGTTTATCATGCTTATCATGGTTATCATGGTTATCATGTTTATCATGCTTATCATGTTTATCATTGTTATCATGTTTATCATGTTTATCATGGTTATCATGTTTATCATGCTTATCATGTTTATCATGGTTATCATGCTTATCATGTTTATCATGCTTATCATGTTTATCTTGGTTATCATGTTTATCTTGGTTATCATGTTTATTATGGTTATCATGTTTATCATGGTTATCATATTTATCATGGTTATCATGTTTATCATGGTTATCATATTTATCATGCTTATCATGTTTATCATTGTTATCATGTTTATCATGTTTATCATGGTTATCATGTTTATCATGCTTATCATGTTTATCATGGTTATCATGCTTATCATGTTTATCTTGGTTATCATGTTTATTATGGTTATCATGTTTATCATGGTTATCATATTTATCATGGTTATCATGTTTATCATGGTTATCATATTTATCTTGGTTATCATGTTTATCTTGGTTATCATGTTTATCATGTTTATTATGGTTATCATGTTTATCATATTTATCATGGTTATCATGTTTATCTTGGTTATCATGTTTATCATGTTTATTATGGTTATCATGTTTATCATGGTTATCATGTTTATCATATTTATCATGGTTATGTTTATCATGGTTATCATATTTATCTTGGTTATCATGTTTATCATGGTTATCATGTTTATCATGGTTATCATGTTTATCATATTTATCATGGTTATCATGTTTATCTTGGTTAATATGTTTATCTTGGTTATCATGTTTATCATGCTGATCATGTTTTATCATGTTTATGTTTTTCTGTGTTCTCATAGTTTATTAATGGTAATGTTTCCATGTTGTCACATAGTGCAGGTCTGGTCGATTCATGTCCAGTCCGGTCAGGTTATGTCCGGTCTGGTTGGTTCATGTCCGGTCCGGTCCTGTCCTGTCTGGTCCGGTCCAGTCCAGTTCGGTCCTGTTCGGTCCGGTCCGGTCCAGTCCAGTCCAGTTCGGTCCGGTCCAGTACCGGTGTTCTGCAGCAGCTCCTGCAGGCCCTGGGAGAACAGCAGGTTCCTCAGCCGGTCCACTTCGGCCTTCAGCTCCCGGATCAGCTTGGCGTTTGGATCCTCGTTGATGATGGCGTTGCAGCGGATCTGCTTGGCCCGGTCGGCGTACCTGGAAGCACACGGTCGGGTCTGAGCGGGACGGAGCGAACCGGACCGGGTCGGGGTAATCTGAGCGGTTCTGACCTCAGGGTGCTCAGTGTTTCCTCGTAGTTGATGTCAGCAGGACTTAAAGCGGCGATCATGGCGGTCCGGGAGTTTCCTCCTGAGAAACGCAGAGAAACTTTAATAATCATAGAACCGTCACACAGACCGGATCGACTGGACCGAACTCTGGAGGAAATCAGAAAGCTGTTTCACAGTAAAAGCCTCCAGTTTACTGCTGTTTATAAATGATTAATATTCATTAGCTTCATGAATATAAACAGGATTAATCAACTGGACGTGCTGGTGAAGCTCTTCTGTCTGAATGTGTTTCTGATGTAATCAAATTATTTGACTATAAATGATCGATTGGGTTGTCATCATGATGACCTTTGACCCTCACCCAGATTCTCCTTCAGCAGCCAGGTGAGAACAGAGTCTCTGTAGGGGATGAAGTCACTTTTCCTCTTCTTGTTGCTTTGCTGCAGACAAACAGGAAACAGTCAGGACTGAAAGGTGAAACTGATTTATGGAAATGTTTTAAATTACCATTTCTGCCAGAGCTGAGATCACTTTGCCCAACGTGGTCAGAGACTTGTTGATGTTTGCTCCTTCCTGTGTGAAAACCACAGCAAATGTGAGCCAACTGGGATAAAAGCAGACCGGCTGTGACCCCTGTGTGACCTCTGACCTTCAGCCGGGTGCCCTTTGCCCCTGAGGAGTCTGCGCGCTCGCTGCCAGCCAGGTCCACCAGGCTGATCTTGCTGACCTGCGGAGACAGAAGGCGGTGAAACGGAGGCTGTGGCCGACCGGATCAAACTGGACCGGACCGAACTGGACCGGACCGGACTGACCCGACACGACTGGACTGACCCGACACGACCGGACCGGACTGACCCGACCCGACCCACCTTCTCCGTGTCCAGGCTGGTCATCTGGTCTCTGCGTTTCTGGGTGAAGACGATGGTGAAGACGGCGTGTGACCTGGACGACGTCTCGTTCATGTTGGTGGCAGCAACCGTCCTGCAATCAGTAATCAATACATTACTAATAATCAATCAGGCGGTTTAAGAGCCGATCAGAAATGGAAAATCAGCATCTGCTGATTTCTGTGTCTGCATTTCAGGCTCCGGAGAGTCAAGGAGAAACTCGATTTAAAGGATAAGTTCAGTGAAAAAGATACCAGCTGGTGACCACTGTTCCCAGTGTTCCCAGTATTCCCAGTGTTCCCAGTGTTCCCAGTGTTTCCACCACTGTTCCCAGTAGATCACATCCCAGATCAGAGCCTGAAGCTCAGAGAAATGACCAGAAACCAAACAGACTCTACAGGTTTTAGGTAGCAGGTCAAAGGTCAGAGCAGGATCATTATAATGAGTACAAATATGCTGCAACGCCATCATCAACGAGGATCCAAACGCCAAGCTGATCCGGGAGCTGAAGGCCGAAGTGGACCGGCTGAGGAACCTGCTGTTCTCCAGGGCCTGCAGGAGCTGCTGCAGAACACGGGTACTGGACCGGACCGAACTGGACCGGACCGGACCGAACTGGACTGGACCGGACCGAACTGGACTGGACTGGACCGGACCGAACTGGACTGGACTGGACTGGACCGGACCAGACAGGACCGGACCAGACATGAACCAACCAGACCGGACAGAACCTGACGGACTGGACATGAATCGACCGGACCTGCACTCTGTGACAACATGGAAACATTACCATTAATAAACTATGAGAACACAGAAAAACATAAACATGATAAACATGATGAACATGCTTATCATGGTTATCATGGTTATCATGTTTATCATGGTTACCCTGAGGTCAGAATCGCTCAGATTACCCCGACCCTCAGTGTTGCTGCAGCACAGCAGCAGCAACACTGAGGCTCAGAGTCGATGTGATCCAAACACACCGACTCCGTCCTTCTTCTCTGCACACAAGGACTGGAAGGAGCAAAGTCCAGGTGCATCAATGGTCCAGTCAAAGTCCAGGCTGTATTAGCATTAGCGATAGCATTCATTAAACACCATGCTGTTATAGGGCTTCATAACTAGCTTCTGCTAATAGCATGTTGGTGTAGCAAAGCATTAGCATAGCTAATGTCTACGTTCAGGGCAGCTAATGCTTCAGTTAGCTCCCACTGGTTGTCATTTGGTTCTCCATCGTCCTGTTGGGCGTCCCACAGCCGGACGGGTCTGACTGAACTCCGGCCCTGTTCCAGCCGGGTTCAGAAGGTCCTGGATGCAGAAGGTCCCGCTCTGACTCACCGGGCTTTGTTGCCTTCGTCCATCAGCTCCCGGATGTCGGTGAATCCGGTCACGGCCAGTTTGGACAGGTCCTCCACGTACGGGCCCAGGATGGGATGCTCCCGCACTCGAAGGATCCCTGTGAGGTCGGGTTGAGCAGATCCCGGACCCGCTCGCAGTAGATCTCCATGTAGGACACCTGCAGGCGGAGCGAGGCGTGGGACCAGTCAGAGTCCGTCCAGACTGAGAGGGAAGGGGACGAGACGCCGCTTACCTCCGCTGAGTAGGTCAGGTCCGGGTCCGTGTTCTGACCCGTCCGCTGGAACAGGTCCTCGCACAGCTGAGGACAGAGACACATCCGGGCTCAGACAGAGTGGACCTGGGTTCTGGACCCGGGTTCTAGACACATGAAGGCGACACCAACCTGGGGGATGATCCCCTCCTGGCCCGGCTCCTGCCTTCCCATCATGGTGTAGCTTTTTCCTGCTCCGGTCTGACCGTAAGCAAATATGCACACATTGTATCCTGGAAGACACCAACCACACCGGATCAGAACCGCTCGACCCGACAGAACCCGCTGGAGGAGCATCAGCTCTCACCTTCGAAGGCGTGCAGCAGCATCTCCTCCCCGATGTCCTTGTAAACCTGCTTCTGAGACGCAAAGTTCTCATCTTCAGGCTGCAGAAACACAAACAACCTGCTGTTGCTGCTGCGCCGCCAGGGTCAGTGTGTGTGTGTGTGTGTGTGTGTGTGTGTGTGTGGTGTGTGTGTGTGTGTGTGTGTGTGTGTGGTGTGTGTGTGTGTGGTGTGTGTGTGTGTGTGTGTGTGTGTGTGCTGTTACCGTGGTGTGTGACCAGTAGGAGTAATCGAATGTGAAGGTCTTGGCTCCATCTTTGGGCTGTTTGGGTTAGAGATGCCTGGAAGCAGAAAACACATGAAAACACAGTCAGAGATTTTCCCTGGTGTTTCAGGATGAGGTCATGCATCTGGTCTGACACACAGTAACAGTTAGCTAGAGTTAGCCATAGCTATCCAGAGTTAGCCATGTTTAGCTAGAGTTAGCCAGAGTTAGCCATGGCTAGCAAGAGTTAGCTAGAGTTAGCCAGGGTTAGCTAGAGTTAGCCAGGCTTAGCCAGAGCTATCCAGAGTTAGCCATGTTTAGCTAGAGTTAGCCAGAGTTAGCCATGGCTAGCAAGAGTTAGCTAGAGTTAGCCAGAGCTATCCAGAGTTAGCCATGTTTAGCTAGAGTTAGCCAGAGTTAGCCATGGCTAGCAAGAGTTAGCTAGAGTTAGCCAGGGTTAGCTAGAGTTAGCCAGGGTTAGCCATAGCGTCACATCCTACAGCTGCTGACCTGCAGGTGGAGCGCGCAGTGACCAGCCCCAGCATTCCCAGAACAGATGAGCAGTTCTCTGTGTGTGTGTGTGTTACAGTGTGTGTTACAGTGTGTGTGTGTTACAGTGTGTGTGTGTGTGTTACAGTGTGTGTTACAGTGTGTGTGTGTTACAGTGTGTGTGTGTGTTACAGTGTGTGTTACAGTGTGTGTGTGTGTGTGTTACAGTGTGTGTACAGTGTGTGTGTGTTACAGTGTGTGTGTGTTACAGTGTGTGTTACAGTGTGTGTGTGTGTGTTACAGTGTGTGTGTGTGTTACAGTGTGTGTTACAGTGTGTGTGTGTGTTACAGTGTGTGTGTGTTACAGTGTGTGTGTGTGTGTTTACAGTGTGTGTGTGTTACAGTGTGTGTTACAGTCTGTGTGTGTGTTACAGTGTGTGTGTGTGTTACAGTGTGTGTGTGTGTGTGTTACAGTGTGTGTGTGTTACAGTGTGTGTTACAGTCTGTGTGTGTGTTACAGTGTGTGTGTGTGTTACAGTGTGTGTGTGTGTGTTACAGTGTGTGTTACAGTCTGTGTGTGTGTTACAGTGTGTGTGTGTTACAGTGTGTGTGTGTGTTACAGTGTGTGTGTGTTACAGTGTGTGTTACAGTCTGTGTGTGTGTTACAGTGTGTGTGTGTTAGTGTGTGTTACAGTGTGTGTGTTACAGTGTGTGTGTGTGTTACAGTGTGTGTGTGTTACAGTGTGTGTTACAGTCTGTGTGTGTGTTACAGTGTGTGTGTGTGTTAGTGTGTGTTACAGTGTGTGTGTGTGTTACAGTGTGTGTGTGTGTGTTACAGTGTGTGTTACAGTGTGTGTGTGTGTGTTACAGTGTGTGTGTTACAGTGTGTGTGTTACAGTGTGTGTTACAGTGTGTGTGTGTTTACAGTGTGTGTTACAGTGTGTGTGTGTGTTACAGTGTGTGTGTGTGTTACAGTGTGTGTTACAGTGTGTGTGTGTTACAGTGTGTGTGTTACAGTGTGTGTGTGTGTTACAGTGTGTGTGTGTGTTACAGTGTGTGTTACAGTGTGTGTGTGTGTGTTACAGTGTGTGTGTTACAGTGTGTGTGTTACAGTGTGTGTTACAGTGTGTGTTACAGTGTGTGTGTGTGTTACAGTGTGTGTGTGTGTTACAGTGTGTGTTACAGTGTGTGTGTGTGTTACAGTGTGTGTGTTACAGTGTGTGTTACAGTGTGTGTTACAGTGTGTGTTACAGTGTGTGTGTGTTACAGTGTGTGTGTGTTACAGTGTGTGTTACAGTGTGTGGTGTGTTACAGTGTGTGTGTTACAGTGTGTGTGTTACAGTGTGTGTTACAGTGTGTGTGTGTTACAGTGTGTGTGTGTGTTACAGTGTGTGTTACAGTGTGTGTGTGTGTGTTACAGTGTGTGTTACAGTGTGTGTGTTACAGGTGCTGTTGCCCTGCATCTGGATCACACTCTTGGCGTTGCGTCCCAGCTCTCTGGAGTTGAACGGTCGGACTCGCACCGCCACCTTCACCGAAGCGCCCGCCATGGTTTAGCTCCGCCCACTCCTCCTGCAGACAGCCAATGAGAGTCAGCAGCTTGTTCTGACCTTTGACCTGCTGCCTTCCTCTCTCCTCTGTAATCCCTGCTGTTTCCAGCCTCTTCCTTTCCTTCTTCTCTCCTCCTATTTTTCCAGGCTCAGCTTTTCCTCCTCCCACATTCTTTCCTTTCCATTTTCTCTTTTTTTACCTCTTTCATTCATTCTCTCCTCCCTCGTCTCGTTTTCCTTCTTTCTAAACTAAGCTGCTATTTTTCCATCTGTCTTTTCTGTTCAGACTTTGATTCTTTCATCTGCGTTCCTTATTTTACTCAGTTTATTATTTCCTTTCCTCTGTACTGTTCTTCTCTTTTCCTGTCAGGTCCCCTCTTTTTCTCTCTCTCTTTTCCTCTCTCTCTTCCTCTCTCTCTATCTCTCTCTCTCCTCCATGTTTCCATTTTTCTTTCTTTACATTCCTGCTCTCTGTTACGTCACGTGGAAACCGCCTGCTCTTGGTTTTCTGTGTCCACATCGGGATGTTGATTCTCAGCTGATAATATTGATCGGCTCTGGAGGAACATCTGACCTCTGACCTTTGAACTGCTTTTGATTGATCTGATGTTGATAAATCTGAGCGTTGCATTGATCTGTGCCGAGATCCTCTAAACAGAAGACGTGTCACTCCTTCGCTCCTCTTTGAACTTAAGGATTATTGTTTTTGTTTTGCAATAGTTTGAACATGTTAAAGAAAAGAAAATTTAAGAATTTAAGAAAAATAAATGGAGTCCTGTCCCTTTAAATTGTCGTCTTTTACAGATGTTGGATGTTTTCAGAAGGTGAACTAGCTTTTTGATTTTGGTTTGATCTTCGTTATTAAATATCTCCTGTTTCAATCAGTTCTGTGTTCCTGATGACCTCTGACCTGGAAACTCCCTGATAGTTTTCTAGCTGTTCATTCAGGCTATGAGAGAGAGCAAACATTTGAGCTGATAACAGGAAGTCATTGTCTGAGCGTTCAGCTTGTCAGTCATGGAAAACTCAAGATTCAGAAATGTTTACACCTTTTAGAAAATCTGAGTTACAGGAATCATTCATGGATTGTTGCTTTAGAGATGCTAGCCATGCTAATTGCTAAAGATTAAAGGCGTTAGCTTCTGTTCCCACTTTTCTCTCTATATCCGTCTCCATTACCTCTGAAAGCTTTTCTATTAAAGTTTTCTATGTTGATCAAGTGGAGCCTCATGCTGAAGCTGTAACGCTTCACTTATGAAAGTAAATCTGTTGGTTTCACTTTGACACTCAGACAACAATTCTGATCTAAAAATGTTAAAAACAAGTAAATATTGATAATTACTAATAATTATTCAATCAAACAAAACATTGCTTATTCAGCAGAAACAAAGTGAGTCGTACCAGAAAACACGGAGCGGAGCAGAAAACACGGAGCGGAGCAGAAAACACGGAGCGGAGCAGAAAACACGGAGCGGAGAGAAAACACGGAGCGGAGCAGAAAACACGGAGCGGAGCAGGCAGTGTGTCTGAGTTCATCACCATGGTAACAAAGGGTCATATAAAGTGATTGTCTCTGATTACAGCTGCAGTGAAAGAGGAGAGCAACACACCCAGCATGCAAACACATCCAAATGAAGCAGCTGGTTGGCCCAGATGGAGCAACCAGCAGCAACCAGCAGCAACTAGCAGCAACCAGCAGCAACCAGCAGCAACTAGCAGCAACCAGCAGCAACCAGCAACTAGCAGCAACCAGCAGCCACCAGCAGCAACCAGCAGCAACTAGCAGCAACCAGCAACTAGCAGCAACTAGCAGCAACCAGCAACTAGCAGCAACCAGCAGCAACCAGCAACTAGCAGCAACCAGCAGCCACCAGCAGCAACCAGCAGCAACTAGCAGCAACCAGCAACTAGCAGCAACTAGCAGCAACCAGCAACTAGCAGCAACCAGCAGCAACCAGCAGCAACAGGTCGGTCGTCTCTAATCATGAGTTTCTCTGCTCACCATCAGACTTCAGCTGTCTGATGCTGAGCAGAAGCAGAGATGCTGCTGATAGTTGCTGGTTGCTGCATCTCTCTAATCTGGAAGATCTACATTCTTGGGGCAAATTTAATTTCTTCTGCTTTTGATTTCATTTCCACTGAAAACAGATGTGCTGCTATAGTAACAGTCAGTTTGTACAGGGAGCGGGTTTCTCTGGAAGACACACACACACACACACACACACACACACACACACACACACACACACACACACACACACACGGATGTTTCAATCGGCACCAGGCCTGTCACAATAAATAATAAATTAAACAATAAATTAAAACTAGCTCAATAATTCCCATTTGCATAATTTATTCATTTTTCTCTTTCCACCAAAAATGTTTCAGTTTGGTGTTTTGGTCTCAACCAGCCATTTTTTATAACTTTATGATTCATTTTATTTGTTGTTTAGAATTTAAAGGTTATTGACGATTGATGATGTGTTATTGTATTATTATGGCATTGTTATTATATTACATAAGAATGGTTTCAAAACAACAATATTATTGATTATCATAATAACTTCTGGACCGATTTATCGTCCAGTAACAATTATTATTACGACCTGAAAGCAGCTGGAAGTTTGATCCGTCAGGAAACACTGAACTGATCCAAACATGAGATCCAGCCTGGAGAACAGAGTTAATGTCAACCAGGTAGGACTCATTACAGCGTGACACACACAGGTCAGGGGACTCATTACAGCGCGACACACACAGGTCAGGGGAAACATTACAGCGTGACACACACAGGTCAGGGGAAACATTACAGCGCGACACACAGGTCAGGGGACTCATTACAGCGCGACACACACAGGTCAGGAAACATTACAGCGCGACACACACAGGTCAGGGACTCATTACAGCGTGACACACACAGGTCAGGGGACTCATTACAGCGCGACACACACAGGTCAGGGGAAACATTACAGCGCGACACACACAGGTCAGGGGACTCATTACAGCGTGACACACACAGGTCAGGGGACTCATTACAGCGCGACACACACAGGTCAGGGGACTCATTACAGCGCGACACACACAGGTCAGGGGAAACATTACAGCGTGACACACACAGGTCAGGGGAAACATTACAGCGCGACACACACAGGTCAGGGGACTCATTACAGCGCGACACACACAGGTCAGGGGAAACATTACAGCGTGACACACACAGGTCAGGGGACTCATTACAGCGTGACACACACAGGTCAGGGGACTCATTACAGCGCGACACACACAGGTCAGGGGAAACATTACAGCGCGACACACACAGGTCAGGGGAAACATTACAGCGTGACACACACAGGTCAGGGGAAACATTACAGCGCGACACACACAGGAGGATCCGCTCCACGTCGGTTCTGGTTCTGGTGTATCTGTCCACAATAACAACAATAATAATGTTTTTAAAATTAAAAAAATTCTGCAGACATTTTAAAATGATTAGCATTTTATGATTTGATTTATTTATTGTCTTTTTGTTCCTGATTACTTACTCTAATACTTTTATTCACATTTAAATGATTTATTAAGAGTTTGAGAGTTTTTGGTATTAGTTTATAAAACTGTAATTTTTTATCAGCAGAGTGATTAAAGCACTTTGCTTCATATTTATTCTATATGAAGTGGACGTCATAAAACACACCAATAAAAGCAACGTTTGCTGTTGGTTGAATATTTTTTGTTACTCCAGATGAAGCTTCCCTTAAACAGTCGGGTCCAGTCAGACGATCTCTGATTAATGATTAAATCATGTGGATAAGCTGTCAGATCAATAATCCTCCACAGTTAAGAGTCATTATCAATAATCAAACGCACAGCGTCAGGTTGGTTAGTTAATGCCTGGAATATCTGCTGTGTTTTATCTTCACTCTGAGCTGAAATCAGTTTGATCTGAAACAGCAGAAGTCTGGAGGACATTTATCTCTGTTGCACCGACGTTAGCGCTGAAACCGGAGCAGAGAGCGGATCTGGGATCAGATTCCTGGAGCAGAATTCCCTCCTGGAGACGTTTCTGCTGACCGTGAGCAGCTCTGAGTTTGTTCTGTCAACACAGCAACAGCAGGAACACAGACAAGATGGTGGACGCAGATACCGGCCTCATTGTGTTTAGGTGAGAGCAGACCCAGCTGACTTCATCCCCCAGGCCAACACACACACACACACACACACACACACACACACACACACACACACACACACACACACACACACACACACACACACAGACACAGAGACACACACACACACACACACACATACACACACACCGCTGCAGCTCCCAGCAGCTGAACTGGTCTGCCCAGTTCAACCACTGCAATCATCAGCTGTTCAGACTGGAGACAGCAGCTTCTAGGGAAACGTTCCAGTCGTTCTCCTCGTTGTTGTGGTGGCTCAGACATTCAAGACAGATGCAACCAACGAGCCAATCACATTCCTGCATGCTGGCACACCAATTACACCACACCCAAACACACCGGGAATTACACCGAACCCAAACACACTGGGAGTTACACCACACCCAAACACACCAGGAATTACACCAGACCCAAACACACCGGGAATTACACCGAACCCAAACACACCAGGAGTTACACCAGACCCAATGACATCAGGAATTACCAGGCAGTTTCTCCAACCTGAACCCATCAGCTGAACTGCAGCCTGGTGTTTCTTTCCTCAGTGTCTGAGCTAAATGATCTGCTCTATATGTGCTGCTTTTTCCTGCCGTCTCAGCAGTTTTTACTGTAACTAAAGAAGAGCTGCAGGTTTTCTCTGAGCAGCAGTAGAAACCGTTGAGACGTCTTGTTTCCCTGAGGAAATCGGTTTTCTCCTCTATAAAGTTACTTTATCTGGTCTGAATCCACCTGAGCAGCAGATCAGACATCAGAGCTGCTTTGATTGGCCGGCGCTCTGCTTTATGCTGCCACCACATGATCTGCAGCTGATATGAAGGTTTATGGCTCCACGATGAGCTGATTAGAGTCCAACTCATCCTCTGTCTGGGTGGATCCAGGTGAAGAACCAGCAGCTCCTCAAGGTTCAGATGTTTCAGTGTTTCTAATCCTGGTCCTCCAGACTCACTGCGCTGCCCGTTTCAGGTGTTTCCTGCTTTAATACGCCCGACTCAGCGGATTGCAGTTCACTAACCACTAGTCAACTGACATCATCTGAAGCAGAAAACACCTGGAGCAGGAAACACCTGGAGCCTGCAGGGCAGAGAGCCTGGAGGACGAGGGCTGGGAAACACCCATCTGCAGCAACCAGGGGTTTACTGGAAGCTAATGCTAAAGGCTACACCACCATGGTATTTAGTGGAAGCTAATGCTAAAGGCTACACCACCATGGTATTTAGTGGAAGCTAATGCTAAGGCTATACCATCATGATATTCAGTGGAAGCTAATGCTAAAGGCTATACCACCATGGTATTTAGTGGAAGCTAATGCTAAGGCTATACCATCATGGTATTTAGTGGAAGCTAATGCTAAAGGCTATACCACCATGGTATTTAGTGGAAGCTAATGCTAAGGCTATACCACCATGGTATTTAGTGGAAGCTAATGCTAAGGCTATACCATCATGGTATTTAGTGGAAGCTAATGCTAAAGGCTATACTACCATGGTGTTTAGTGGAAGCTAATGCTAAGGCTATACCATCATGATATTCAGTGGAAGCTAATGCTAAAGGCTATACCACAGGTGGATCTGGGGTCGTCTGCAGTGAGGTCATCGTCTCTCTGCTCAGACTTGGTGAAAACAGCCAGAGGAAAAGTTCTGGGATCCGGTCCGTCTGGATTCTGACCCAGTTGCAGATCAGGACCAAAGAGGAACTAGTTTGGACCAGAACCCAGAGACCCGGTCTGGGGTGAGCAGAACCAGCGCCAGGCTACAGGAAACTAAACGTTTGTTCCTCTTTAGCGTCAGTCCAGCTGATTCTTAATCTTCTTAATCTTATACAAAAGTCAAATGTTTTTGTTTGTCGTTTTGCTGAATCATCGTTTTTGTTTGTTTTGGTTGTTTGATTTTCTGGAACCAAACGGATCATTTCATTCTGCATCAACTGAGACGCCTGGAGAGCCGACATTATTTATTATAAAGCCAATAATTCTGACTTTACTGTAAAAACAGATTCATGTAAACTCAGAGAATATAGGAATATTTATCCTGTTATTTCATGATTACTCAAAGTAACTGTGTTAATCAAAACAAGGAATATAATAAAGCAAATCAGGGAATAATCCTAATCCAGTTTTATTTTATTGACACCTTTTAGTCTTTATCATAAATAAGTTAATGATGTTTTATATTTATTTCATTATTAGTTCTGTTATTTAATTGTGTTATTTTCTCATTTTTGTTCTATACTTTGATTAGTGAATGAACTAAAATTAAAATCAATCAATTCAAATAGAAAGTTATTTGACGTCTTAATTAGTAACATTTCTGGTAGCTGGTCCAAACTGGATCAGAACCAAAACAAGGTTTTGAGGTGATGATGAACAGCTGGATTAAATTATAATCAGATCAGATTTATGTTCATTAATCTGACATATAAACCGGTTCTGGTCTCGGCTCGGTTCTAACAGAACCGGCCAGCAGTTCTCATGCTCAGGCTTCTGCAGGAATGTGATAATGAACGGTCTTCATGGCTCTGACACACACACACACACACACACACACACACACACACACACACACACACACACACACACACACACACACACACACACACACACACTCTGCTAAAGATAGACGTCGCGCTGCAACGCCCAGACTGCTGCTGCATGTCGCTACCCAGTCCCAGTCCACTAGTCCCAGTCCGAGCTCCGTGTCTCTGTTTACGGGACACCGTGTTGCCTTCGTGTGCAGTAGGAAACAGCAGCATTAAGTTCAGCAGGAGGTCGGATGTTCAGCTAATTTGTTGACGATCCCAGAGAACGTCTGGACGTTTAGCAGCGAAGGCAATCAAACTGAAACTGGTTTCAACAAACTGGTTTCAACAAACTGGTTTCAAGCAGCACCTGTTCATTGAGGCTGCAGGAGGGCAAGAGAGAGCAGGACGTTCCAGTAGAGAACAGGAAGGCTGGACAAGCCTCTGCTTGATGTTCTAATGAAGCTGAAGTCCAGCGCTAAGCTAAAGCTCCAGGTCAGCGATGTCCAAAGTGCGGCTCGGGGCCCATTTGTGGCCCTCTGAAGGATTTTGTGGTACGAAAATAGATTATTTCTCCATTTGTCCACAACCACAAAATCTACAGACTTTCACTGAAAAGCAAATCTGAGAGCACAAATAAGAAAACAACAAACTCAAAAAGTCATAAAAATAAAACAATGTTTTGTTTAAAGTCACATTCAATAAATCAGAAAAAACGTTTCAGCGAATCTGTTTGTCTGGAATCAGACGCTTAAATCTGGGATGAAATCTGATTGGTGAATCTCTGGCTGGAGGAACGTCAGCAGGTCTGAAATAAGCTGATGTTCCCTGATGTTCCCTGATGTTCCCTGACAGAACAAACCTTTTCCCGCTAATGGAGACTGAACGCTAACCTGTAGCTATCCAGACGCTACACGCCTCCAGTGGGCCATTTTGACACCATGTCAGGGAACTGTTGTGGGAACATCCCTCATCACAGTGTGAAGCTCTTCCTCCAGGATTTATTCTTCACTTGGCAAACAAAAGTAAAAACATGGCGGACAACGACATGAGCTGCTCAGCCAGTTTGGTTTATCACGTCTGACGTGGAATATCCATCTGCTAGTGGAGAACTTTGGTCAGCGGTTGCTGATCAATAAATCAGCTGCAAGCTAAGGCTCAAAACTGCATGTTTCCACACCATGCTACAATAACAGCGCCGTCTGGTGGCCTGGCATACAAACTGCAGCAGATTCCAGGAGAAAACGTGAAACTTTCACTAATAAACATCAGGAAATAACCACAGCGGCCTGCTGTCCTCTGAGACCAGTTCACCCACTGGTTTCACCTCCGACTGGTTTCACCTCTGACTGGTTCCCAGTTACAGTATTGGTCACCAGTTCTGACTGGTTCCCAGTTCCTGCAGGTCCTCCCTCCCAGTCAGGTCTGGTCAGAGGTATTGAGCTGTTGGCTGATAACACTGGAGCAGAATCCAAACAACATGCAGCTATAAATACACACACACACACACACACACACACACACACACACACACACACACACACACACACACACACACACACACACACACACACACACACACACACACACACACACACAGCTGAGATGCCAGCTGGGAACTGCCGGCTAACTTTAGGGACGCTCCGAGTCTCAGAGTCCCGGTCCGGACCTGGAGGGACTCGGAGTGTCACCTGCTGCTCAGGTGACCAGCAGGCGAAACCGGCTGTGATCGGACCAGAACCAGAACCAGAACCGGACCAGGAATCAGAATTAAACCTGTTGTTTCTGCTCTGACCCAGAGTGATCCAGGTGCAGTTGCCACAGTGACTCCACCTGATCCTGCAGGTGTGGAAACGTCCCAGTGGGGCTAAAGCAGGGCGGGGTAGAAAGGAGAGCGGGGCAGAAAGCAGGTTGGGGCAGAAACCACTGGGCAGTTCTCACATTCTGAGTTCTTTCTCATGATGATGGAACAGAGAAAGGTTTCCTGATTGACCTGGTTCTGCAGCAGGAGGTGGAGGAACACAGACAACCTCAGCAAACCTCATAGAATTTCATAGAACCTCAGCAAACCTCATAGAACCTCATAGAACCTCAGTAAACCTCAGTAAATCTCAGTAAAGCTCATAGAACCTCAGGAATGAGGCGGGAAGCAGCAGATGGATCAGGAAGCTCATTATTGCTAAGTGGAAGCAGCCGACTGCAGAGTTCACACTGGAAAACTTCACCTGAAGAGAAATCTGCAGACTGGATGTGAAGTGAATTAATCTGCAGGACGATGACATCACCGATGACATCACAGCGCAGCACTGTTTTATTAACATTCCAGCTGCTGGAGCTCTGAGTTTATCACAGATTATTATCCAGTTATTTTTCAAGATGTCAGATCAGGAACTGGGTCAGCGCTGTGGGTTCTGATCAGGTTCTGATCAACCTGATCAGGTTCTGATCGCTGGATAAACTGGATTAAATACAAAAATGTTACTTTCTCACATTATTTACACTAAAGTTTTTAAATGAAGCGTCTAAAATGATCAAATAACTAAAAACAAAAAATACAAATTTTTGTGCTGCAGCATAAAAACATATCAATGATTAGATATTAATACTTGATCATTGGATCTGATTGATTATTATGATTTTAACAACTAAAGTGGACATTTTTCCTAACAGTTTCAGCCTCTTTCAGGCAGCTGACCTGCAGTCCTCAGCAGATTCATCCATCCTGCTTTGAAGAAACAAACCAACGTTTTCATCACTGAGCTGATAAAGCTGATCAATATCTTCAATATTTTATTCAACTTGTTTTTCTTTATTTAAGAAGTGAAGGATCAGGCAGCATCTCATCAATATCCTGATAACAGTGATTGATGTCGTCATCACATCAATCAGCTGTTTTAAATATGATCTAAAATGTTAATAAAGTTTGGAAACTTGATTCTGACTGACTGGATCAGAACCGGTTCCGGTCCAGTCCTCTCTCTGCCTGACATCAAATTTTAATTGATGATAAATTAATAAAATGTTGATTTCTGTCTAATCAATAACCAATAATAACTGGAGTTTCATTCTGAGATGTTTTACAGGAACAGATTATTGATCTCTGATTTTTCTTAATCTCCTTATTGATCCAGAAGGTTTTATTATTCTGAGCTGGTTCCGGTTCGACTGGACCCGGACCGATGGCTCACCTGTACCGGAGGAAACCCGCGGTGTCGGTTCGGTTCAGTCGGTCCACATGATGTCCTCCAGCAGCAAAGTAAACAATCCTGGTTCTGGTTCCGGTTGGGTTCGGGCCTGTCGGTACCGGGACAGCCAGGCGGGTCAGCGGGGTCCGACTCAGAGTAAAACTTTATTCCGACCGGATCTAACGGAGGATCCGGGCCGACTTTTCCCGGGTGACGTCACTGCCCGGTTCTGGAGGCCGTCAGAGGACCGGAAGCCGGAGGGCCGGGCTGGGGGAGAGTTTAGGCCCGGACCTGGAGCCAGGCAGCCGGGGCGGCCAGGGCGGCAAGAAGCGGCGCGTCCCGGGACAGAGCGGCTGGAAGGCGGTGATCCGTCAGCGGGTCCGGCCCGGTCCGACCGGGAGGGGGACGAGTCAAGGAGAACCGGGCCCGAACAGAGGAGAAGGAGAAGCAGCGAGGGGAGGAGAGGCTGAGAGGCTGGCCGGTGGCCTGGCCGCGCGGCGGTGAGTGCGTGAGGAGCGCGGGCGCGTCCCCGTGGAGCGGAGAGCCGGGGCCGCGTCAGACCGGCGTCAGGCCCCGCCTCCTCTCAGAGCTGCTGCACTGACAGAGGTCTCACTCTGAGGAAGATTCCTCCCCATCAGACTCAGGGATAAACCAGGGGAGCTCTACAGAGGGAGAGGAAGTTGGAGTAACAAAAACTACAAACAGTAACAGCTGATCAAAACATTTAACTCATTACATAAGATACTAAAATCAAAGGTATAAGAATAAATCTACTTGAACATAATTTCTAATGTAAGTTTCTGGAAAGATGCTCTTTTTGTTCTTACTCAACAAGCTGAACCTGGAAAGACCAAAATGTTTTCAGATTCATTTAAAAGAGTAAAATATAAACAGGATGCAAGTCCACAACACAAACTGGTGCAGGTCTGGCTCCAGGTAAACTGAACCAGTAAACAGAACCTGATGAACAGAACCTGATGAACAGAACCTGATGAACAGAACCAGGTCTAAATCTGGATCAAAGCTCCAGAGAATCAGTCACATGATCTGCCTCTTTGTTTCTGCCAGGACACGCAGCACAGAAACATGCTGGAAACAAGGGAGGGAGGGGTCAGGAAACACCTGGAGGTCAGGAAACACACACACACACACACACACACACACACACACACACACACACACACACACACACCACACACACACACACACACACACACACACTCAGCTGTAAAACAAATAAAACTCATTTCAGTTTTATCCGTTCACTTTGCTCCTGACCTTTGACCTCCATGTGAGCGGCAGCTGGGCTGCGTGCTGATTGGTCCTTGGTTTGGGATCCTGATGAGGTTTGTAGGAAACTCCCTCTGCAGCTCCCCCTGCTGGTCAGAACACATTACTGCACTCACTTTATTTCCTCTGCATGATTGATGTGAGGAGAATTTTATTGATTTTTCATGAGATTGACCTTTGACCTGTGTTCCAAATGGATTTCATCCATTCAAAAATAATTAAAGTGTTTCACATTTAGGAGAAAATATGTTGCTGCTTTATACTTCTGTGGAGAAGAATTTTATGAAGTAATTTATTTTCCATTTAGTTTGAAGAAATTTAAACTCTGCAGCTAAGTTTTTGATGCTTCCTGGATCAGATGTTTCTACCTGTTATATATCTATAAAAACACCTGAGATCCAGGGGGAGAAACTACTTCTGGTTCTGATAATAGGGAGTGAAACGTTATGGGCTAATCAGCTTAGCATATAGTTAGCAGGCTAAGTATTTAGTTTGGAGCTAAATATGAAACTCAGAGCTAAATATTTAAAAGCTGTTTCCTGTAAATCTTTATAAACTGCTGCTTCCTGTCAACCATTTATTATTTCTTTCCCTCTTTTCTTGTTCAACATTAAACAAAGACTCTACAGCAGCAGCGATGGATGTTAGCAAGAACCAGCTTTTACTTTGGTAGCTGTTAAGAATTAAAAAGAGGAATAACTTGATTTAGCTCTTTAATTAATTCTTCTTTGTCCCGAATTCTTGCATCTGTATACATGTGCAGGGAGAAAGAGCAATCATATGACGTCAGACTTCAGATATCCAGAGTTTTATCCAGAGAAATTCAATGCAAGAAGAATGTTACAATAATCATCTCACCTAGATCATCAAAAGTCCAAGACATGACAAAACAGAAACAATTAACTGAGTAAAAAGGCATCTTCTGGGAAACTCTCACTCAGCACAAAGAGATTCGAACTCCTGCTGCAAAACAAACCATTTTATACGAATGTGTATTCTCCTCATTTAAATATATGCATTAGGAGGTCTGTTTTCCTTTGTGTGGGCTATCTTAATTTTAATTTTATTACCTCCTGATATATGCATCGTCAAACTGGGTCTCTGCCGTACCAGGCGTCTCCTGCAACTCTCCCTGAGCTAAATTTACGACCTCTGTCTGTTTTAGTTTTCTGCCTCAAATGATTCCACAAGAAAGTAGTTTGTATTTTTAACCAAGCTTGCACAAAATGTAATGCTAAATAATGACTATAAGTTTGGATCTAAGAAGTAACTAATTCAAAACATGCTTAAAGAAATATATTTAATTCTAATATAAATAAAATTATTTATAAAAAGTTTTAAGATCCTAGTGAACTTTTGAACCATGCTAAGGAATTTGTTAATTGCCTGGCAGACAGGCTCCCTGTCTAAATAGATATCTAAATTTATCTTAAAGTAAAGATTAGCCTGTGTACTATTGTGCTAATTTAAAATTCAATTTCAACATAGCCCACTTCTGGATATCGGCTCATGAATTTGCGAGTTAGCTTAATAGTTAGCGGTGAGCTAGCTCCATACTTAAAGTCAACATTCAGTTAGCCCAGAGCTAATCATAGCTAAATGCTTCCTTTACCAACAGAGTATTTAGCTAGCTAGCAGGTAAATAGCTAGCTTGTTTACAGGCTAACTAAACTAGTTAGCTAATAGTTTACAAGCTAAACAGCTTGTTAAATAAGTGTTTATTTGAAACAGATGAATGAATAAAACCTGGTCAAATATGACTTTAGAAAGTGAATCTTTATATTAAATTATTGACAGGCTGAATAACCCAAATAACTGCTTAGTTTTGTACTATATAACTTTAGAAAATGGTGTGAAAGCGATGCGGTCTACAAACCTGACCCAGTTCAACTGGTTCTGTTGGGAGGAATGGGCCAGAACTCCAGAAACCTGCTATTTACAGTCAGGCAGTGCGACGGGCAGCCCGACCCAAATCCTGGGGAGGCTGAATGAAGCTCAACTGCATAGTTTTCAAAAATCTCTCAGAAATAAACATTTAGTAAATAAAAATAATATAATAGTCATAAGTGAGATAAACAGGAAACGTGTGATTAATGTCTGGATTGTAAATAGACTCCATTTGAATGTAAACCATTAAAATATGAAACAAATTCCTCACTTGGTGTTTTAAACAACATCCTCTGAGTCACATTATAATTAAACATTGAATGAACATTAAACAGCAGGACATAAACACAGTGACAGTTTGTAGAAGTTTATATAAAAATCAACATTGAGCAGAAGGGACGACACTCCCAGCTGGGCCTTCATTTTCCTGTTTACATGGCCGTACTGTTTCCCAACATGTAAAATAATAGACAGTTAAATAAAGAGGATCAGCAGAACGTGAACCTCATGTTCAGATCCCACCCAAAGTGTTTCAGTGCTTCACTCTGACGACTTCATGGTCAGACGATAAACAGCGTTTAAAAATCAGCAGGAGGAAACTGGATTATCTCCCTATAAACTGGTTACAGCATGGACCAGGGATCACTGCTGCTTCAGCTCAACGGAAACTATGAGACCCTGGAAATAAGGTTTCCTGTTCAGTGTCCTGTCAGGGAGCAGCCTGAAGAGGGCGCTGTTGACCTGGAGAGGATCCCGTCTTACTGGTTTTACCTTATCAGCCACCATGTGGAGGAAAACCATGAGGAGAACATGTGAGTCCTTCAGAGGAGAACAGAACTCCTTCCTTCTTCCTCTGGAATATAATCTGATCTCAAGTTAAACCCAAGATTACAAAACCAGTTCTACTGACAAAGCTAACCTTCATCAAACCAAAGAAAATGGAAAATGATAAATCTGTGTTGCTGTGACCCAAAGGCCATCATCTGCAGCAGTTTCTCCTGAAAGGTTTCTAATTTTGGACGGATACTGAGCACATTTCATCCAAAGGTTTCTCAGTCATTTGAATCCTCTGGTCTGTAGCAGGACATTCTGAAATGACTCCCCTCCACATCCACTGGGTTTATGGACGGATCCGGTCGGGTTTTAACTTTTGACGACCCGTTCCTTCCAGTGGATCTTACAGAGCTATTTCTAAAAGACATCCGTTGACTCCAACGTGACCGCGTGAGCTCAACGTCTTCCTTGAATTTCTTGGTGGAGTAGTAGTACAGCAGCGGGTTGACCACGCTGTTGGACGCCGCCATGCACAGCGTAATCGCCACGGCTCTCTGCAGCAGGTTGGTGATGCTGCAGTTCCAGTGGGCGTTCACGGCGTGAAGGTGCAGGGTCCGGATCACGTGGTAGGGCAGGAAGCAGAGCAGGAAGGTTGCTATCACCGTGACGAGCAGGCGCACTGAGCGCTTGTTTTTCTTCCTTAACTTCATGCGTGTTTTCAAGTCCTGAAAATATTCTGGGTGTGTCAGACTGTGGATGATCTTGGTGCAACACAGGATGATGGTGAAGAACGGCAGCACAAATCCAAAAATCAACGCCACGTAGTTCAGGCTGAGAATGCGGGACCAAGACTGTGGAGTCGCCGGCTCAAAGCAGCGAGGTATTCCACCTCTGGAAGGAAGCAGAGGAGAAACTTCAGCATCCTGTGGTCCTCTGCTTGGTCCCAGCCAGCAGCAAACAAAGACGTATCACTGGTGCTCTGACTCTTACCTTTCTTTAACGCCGCTGCCAAGGAAGGGCACAGAGGACACGGCCACAAACAGCCAGATTCCCAGACACATCAGCAAGGTTGACCTGAAGTTTCTCATGTACTGATAGCGTATTGGATAGACGACGGCCAACCAGCGGTGGAGGCTGAGGAGCGTGAGGAACAGGATGCTGAAAGGCAGAGAGAGCAGAGATGGAACTGAAATATTCCCCAAGCCAAAGGGGATTGAGGACGTTCCTGTCCTACCTGGAGTAGAGATTGACGTAGAAGCCGTAGACACAGAGTCTGCAGACCCAGTCAGGAAAGGTCCAGTGGCCATTGTTCATGTAGTACGCCAGTCGCAGAGGCAGGGTGAGGGAGAAGCTGCCGTCAGACAGGGCGAGGTTCACCATGATCACAGAGACGGGTTTGTTCCTGCGGATGGAAGGAAGAGGAGACGGATAATCAGGGCAGCCTGAATCAGTGTGTAGGAATTCACAGCCTGATCTCTTCCTGATCTCTAGCAGGAACCTCTGTAAGACATTTGCCTTCCTGTTGGACGTTGGAAAGAGGACAACACAGGAGCAGTGACTGGTTCCAGTGGAGTCCACCTGCTG